GGCATTCACACGGACACCACAGCACCGTCTCTAGAAACAGGTTCTTCCCCAAAGCTAACAACCGCATTTGTTGGAAGGGAGTTATCACCAAATCAGCTGTAACTTAGTAGCTCTTCAGCACCCAGCTTCTGGGGGGAAACAGTATTGTTTTAGCCATGAAAATTGCTGAGCACACAGAAAATAATGATCTTGGCCTTCCTGAGGTCTCAGCGGGAACAGAGGATGACTTCAATAAAGACACTGTAACTTCCATCTGATTCCCTCTCTGTAACTGTCCGAAGTTAAACTGCCAGTTCTGCCCAGTCCGAATCCAACTTTCCCGGCGGCTCTGGGCAGCCCACAAAGCAGAGAACCCCACGGAGTCAGCGCACCTTCAGGGTGCCCGTTCCCAGCACCTCCCAGTCCTTCAGGAACAGTGGAGCAGAACTCATACATATGCTGACAAATGGAAGAGCTTCTCCACGGAAAGAAACACCTGTATTTATTTTTATTTTTCTCTTTTGCATTCCATGACACTCAAGAAACAGACACGCAGGTCTCTTCCAAAAGAGCACTCTGGGCTGCAATACATTTTAAAGCACTTAGCTATACTTTCAGTAGACTGGGACCGTTTTGTTGTCTTTTTTTTTTTTTTTTTTTAAACCTAGATATACTTGAAAATTGTTTGGTCTTTTCTGCCAAAATTTAGGGGATAGTCAGTAACAGCAATCACAATTCTGACAGACTTTTTATTACAGCAAACTTAATTATCCTCTTCTTTTAATTCTCTATCTGGCCATGCTAAGCATTATAAAATAGCCAACTACTAACTTACTAAGCCTTTCTATAATGTAGATGCGTCTGACATATCTCTTAGGATGATAACAATTGCCATACCAGGTCAGACCAGGGCTCCTCATGTCCAACATTCTGTCCCCGACAGTAGCCAGCATCAGCTGCTTCCATGGAAGGAACGTAGAAGCAACCCCAAAGCAACACAACCCGTCAGTTGGGCAGTTTCCTCCTAACTCCTGTGACTGAGGTTTGGGTTATTTAACGGAGCAAAAGAATTTATATTATTTACAGCATTTGTGTTGCACCCCACTGCATCTGCAGCAGATTGCTTTGCTGTCCATGCAAGTGCTTTAGTAGAACAGTTTATCATTTGTTTGAAATAGCAATTTTCTTAAGCTATTTTACTTAGTTTTACTGATTGTTTCTCTGAACTTGTTTAGAGATGTTGTTTCTTGTGTTATTCCTAAACTTCCTTCCAATTGTCTACAGGCAAAAAAAATGAGTTTTGAACTGTTTTGGATTCCCAGCTCATGAAGAACCAAAGGGACATCCAGTACTTTAACTTAACACTGCTGTAGGAAGAAAATTCTGGTCTAAGAATTAAAGACATGCTAATGACTCAAAACTAATGAAGGAGAAAAAGTAGTTAAACATTTTTCAAGCACTGTACCTACCTCTGTATCTCCCAAACCAACCTTCCCCCAGAAATCTTTGTAAACTTTTATCACTTTTCTTTAAAATGTTTCTCTCTTGTAATTGTATGCGAAAGTCCCTTAAGGAGGAAAGCCCATTCATACAGAAAGCCAACAAGCTCAAAGTTAGCAAGAACACTTGAATTTTAAGAGCTCCTTTACTTCTAACAATCTTTAGGTTCCAGTCCCAGCAATCATTTCCAGAGAGGTGCAGTTCTGCAGTAAATGTCTCTTCTTTCACAGAGCATGGATTTCCATGTTTTTCCCCCCTTAGGGCCTGACTCCACAGTGCAGTGTCATACTCTGTAGAAAGCCGTGGGCCAGCTCGGCTGAGGGGCACCGAGAGACAGTTGGCCCACGGAGAGCAGTGGTGTAAAGCAGGGAGTTTATTTCAGATCTCTGAGCCATTGGCCCGCCATGCTGCATCATGCCTTAGGGGCATACCTTAAGTGGCAGAACTGGTCATCTAAATTCAACCATAAAGAAATGGTTCAGGAAATCACCAATTTCAGGTCAGTTTAATAACAAACACTTTGAAGTTAACATGACAAAGCAACACCATCATCAAAAAAGACTCGGTTTGGGCCATGACAGCTGAAAGGGCTTGGAGTGGAAATCTCAGTGAAGACACTGGGAGTGTCCACAACCCTCAGAACATTCCAATTTGCGTTTTCATCCTCCTTCTCCAAAGAAAGTACTGACATTCCTATCTTACTTGGTTCTGCAGAAACCAAGAAGGAAGCACAGGAGGCCAGGACTGCAGTCTTCCTCTACTGGAAGGAAGAGAGCTTTATTCTCCTGGACCGACAGGAGAATTGAAAAAGCCTGGTCAAAAGCATAGCTGTACCAGAGCTGGAATAGTACTCTGTGCTGCCTGTTTAACTTCTTCAGTGTCCCTTCCCCTCCTTGATACAACAGGGACAATGGGGTCTTGATGAATGCTACAGGATGCATACAACTGAAAAGCAGAAAAATTACCAAAACAAATGACCCAAGCGGTTCATTATTCTAACAAGTTACTAGTTCCTTTCACATAATAAAGTAAATTCTACAACTGCTAACCATTCAGAAGGCACAACAAGAAGGCTGCCGGTACCACTAACCTGTGTCGATTTTTGTTCTTCCGTTTTTTGTGGCTGCTGTGGTGGCTCCCAGAAGAAGTAGAAGAAGCAGCTTTCTGGGGTTTCACCCCCTGCACAGACCCATCCAGCTCTTCAGCATCCTCCTGGTTGGGCTCATTCTCCTGATTGTGAAAGTCTGGAGAAGTGTCACTTTCTGTGCCACTGCCTGGCTCCCCTAGAGCATGACAAACACAGATGAGCACCACGGTTACCTCCCCACAGCTCAGGCTGCCCTGTAAAGCCCTGCATGGAAGAAACAACCCCCAGCAACAGTACACAGGGCAGCAGAAACACATTGAGCCTTAGGACACCAGAAGGTAAATAACAGAACCTAAAAAATATTTCTGAAGGACAGCAAGCTACCTCCTCAGCAACTGAAGCACACTAGAATTGCATCTGATTTGGTTATTGATTACAAAAACATTTTTAAAAATCCTGAACATAAGCGGCTACTTCCCGTGTCACTTGCAACTGACTGACACGCACACAAACAGAAATGCCTTCCTTCAGCTCTTCTAGCCTCTTTCTCCAAAGAGCACCAAATCTATTTACATAAGTTTTATGCACCCTTGCTGAGTATAAAAGTTTACTTGAGAAAGGAAGCTCAACTTTACTTCTGTTTTTCACAGTGCCACTTTGTTGACTTGCGCAGCTAGCAGTTGTGCTGGGAGCACTCTGGAGCCGGCCTAAGAGGAGCAGCCGCAGGTCCCTGGACCAGATAACAGCGGCTCTCACGGATCCAGACAACTGGAGACAGAGTCAAACGGTGGGGAGAAGTGTAATTCTTTCCAAATTCTGAGAGAAATAAAAAAGTGACTTACGCTTCTCAATGAGCTGGTCCTGAACCCCAGCTAATGCACTGACCGCCTAGAAAATCGAAAGGGATGTTAACGAAAGCAGTAATTCACTTACCGCTTTTCCAATGTTCAAACCCACAGAGATCACCTCACAGAGAAAGATACATCAGCCCTTTGCCCGAAAGAGCTCACAACCTAGCACCAGCGTGGCATGGCAGAAGGGGTTTACGAGCAAAAAGATAAAGACATAGATGCCAGTAACAGGCATGTGGCTCAAGTAGTTCCTGACCGTGGTTCCCTTTCACCTCTCTAGGCGGTAGGAAAAGGTTTCTGAAAGAGGCTGCAACATGGGATGAAGATGCTCAGACCGGGGGAGACAGGGCAGGTACAGGAGCTTAAATGGAAAACTGGTCCTGCAGCAGCCCGGGCAACCACCACGGGACCAGCTGCACCGAGGAGCGCCA